GTTTTTTTTAACATGAACACGATCCTTTTGTGTGAAACGTTAAAACTCTTAAAATGTCGCGTGTTTAAACTCGAGTCCAACAGGAGGTGAGTGAGTTGTTTTAGTTTGTGAATGTGTTAAAGTTACAGACTTCTGCTCTTCTCTCCTCCAACAGGAAGTGATCACGGGCGCGTTTGGGCTCCACAGACTCTGGCTCCAGGTCAGTTTGGGTGGAAGAGTGTGGCCTGTCGCTCTGTACCTGCCGGAGTCTCAGGTTTTACCACTTTTTAGTATCACTGTTCTGACACGTCTTTTTTTTATTTCATTTTTTTGTAGAGTCGTGACAGTCGCGTCTCTCGCTGTTTGTTCTTCGATGTTCGTCTCAACACGTTCAGGTCCAGTGTGTGAGTTTGGTTCTGTGGCAGCATCGTGTCACTGAGCTGCTGCACTGGACCTGACTGGTTATTTATTTATTTAGATGAAATGTTGTGACGGGTGTTTTTAAGCTGAACCGTTTCAGTTCAGGACTTTGGGTTTGGTTCAGTCTGAGCTCGAGTGACGTCAGTTTATGTGTTTCCCACAGTCTGTAGAAAGAACTGTTCTATGTGAGTCAGACTCAGCGTCAGAAGAGCCTCTGGTCAGAAGAGCCTCTGGTCAGAAGAGCCTCTGGTCAGAAGAGCCTCTGGTCAGAAGAGCCTCTGGTCAGAAAGTCCATGTTCAGGTCGTGTTACAAATTGTTACAAATTAAATTGTATTTCAAGTTTTAAATATTTTAAAAAGTAAATATTAAAAGTAATAAATATATTAAACCCTTAAAATGCAGCAAAAATGTTTGAGGAAATAATGATTTGGGTGGAAATGTCGTCTTAAGTGGAACAGGGTGAATAATTGTCTGATTTTCAGGCAACAACTTGGAAAATGTTCAGTAATTCGAGCTCTACAACCTTCAGTTCAATTTGATTTTAAATCTTTTTCTTTTAATAAAACATTGGTGGTTTGTAAACCAACAAATGAAGTCACGTTGGTCTTAGCCGATGCTGTTATTCATGATTATGTGTTTTCCTGTCAATATCTCTAAAATGTTGATGTTGCAGCCATTTTGAATTGGTAAACATCCAAAAGTTTATTCATTCTTCCCTGATCCAGGGATTTTTCCCTGTTGTTTTCATCAAATAAACATTCAACTGTTCAAGAGAAATGTTACTGACAAACAAGAGAAGAAGGAAGGATTTTCTGACTAGTGGGCCATCTGACTAGTGGGCCTTCTGACTAGTGGGCCTTCTGACTAGTGGGCCTTCTGACTGACTAGTGGGCTGACTACTGCCTTCTGACTAGTGGGCCTTCTGACTAGTGGGCCTTCTGACTAGTGGGCCTTCTGACTAGTGGGCCTTCTGACTAGTGGGCCTTCTGACTAGTGGGCCTTCTGACTAGTGGGCCTTCTGACTAGTGGGCCATCTGACTAGTGGGCCTTCTGACTAGTGGGCCATCTGACTAGTGGGCCTTCTGACTAGTGGGCCTTCTGACTAGTGGGCCTTCTGACTAGTGGGCCTTCTGACTAGTGGGCCTTCTGACTAGTGGGCCATCTGACTAGTGGGCCTTCTGACTAGTGGGCCATCTGACTAGTGGGCCTTCTGACTAGTGGGCCATCTGACTAGTGGGCCTTCTGATTAAAGGACCTTCTGATGATTAGGGTGTAACCTGTGAGTGTTTGTCTCCACAGTCGCAGTCGTTCACGTGAGGCTCCTGATGTTCACGTCACAGGAGAGAATCTGGGTCAGACTCTGTGTCATGAACACGATTTTTCTGATGAACAAAAAAAGCGAAAAAAATTCAGGATCATGTGTCGCAGGTTCATACAAACATTTAAAGACCAAAACATCGAGGCCACAGCAGCAGGAAGAGAGAGACGAGCCACAAGAGCCAAATGTGAGTCACAGGAGCCAGAAGAGCCTCCTGGAGAACTTCCTGTTGGGAAGACGACGGTGACAGAGTTCGATCTGAACACTGAGACACACGGACGATGGTGTTTCCAGTCGTCTACACGTGCAGCTCCACAGAGACTCGACTCTTTAATATTCAGAGGAGCTCGTCCGTGATTGGTTCAGTGTTTCCTGCAGTTTTAGAGTCAGAGCGACGCCGCAACAACAACAACAACAACAACAACAACAACAACAACAACAACTGACCCCGACTAGACTCCGCCCCCTGAACCACGAGAATCTAAAAATCTACCGTCGTCGCACCTTCCACCTCTTACTGTTCACACGGAATTCATTTTTTATAATATTTCAAACATTTGCTGCTGATTTGAGAATTTTTGATTGAACTTATCAGTTTTACCGAGCAGCACTTTGACTTTATTTTATTGCTTTTATTTGCATAATGTTGGTTTAATAAAAAGCACAAACAGTTTTGCTTTTTTTTTTTTCACTGCGCTGAAAATGAACCGAACCCTGACCACAAAACCGAGGAACGTTTTACAGAACCGTGATGTTTGTACCGTTACACCTCGAATAAATGTTGTTTTTTGCAGAGACTCGACCAAACGAGTGAAGCACAAAAGGCCCGTGAAGCGTCTGGTTTAGACGTTTCTCCAAAGGCCTGGGCACGTTTCCCACGACTCAGTGACGACATCTTTCTGTCTGTCTGATCTTCTGTGGACTGATCCTCTCCTGAGCTCCAAACAGTCTGCTCCACCTCATGACATCATCAGGGGGTTGTGCAGAAGGAGCTCCTCTGTGTTTTTAAAGTCCGTCCATCAGCTGAGCTCAGACTTTCTGTTGTTTTAAACGTGAGTGAAAGTGCTTCACTCCTCAGCGCTCGCAGACAGAGTCCTTGCGCCCTCTGCTGGCACAAACATTCAAAACATAAGGCCACAAAAAAAAACACGCCTGATTTTAAAGCTGCACCGTGTCACTTTTCGGTGGAGGTTTGTCTTCTGCATAGAGATGCTCTGCTCTCCCCGCGATGTTCCACAGCGCGACATTAAACCTGTTTATCTCCACGGAGACGACCCCCGACTGTTACGAGTCGGATCTGTGGGAAAGGAGAACGAGTTTCACAAGTTACTTTAAAGTCAGATCAGTTTAATGCCAAACTGTGGAACATTTCAGGCAAAGCATCAGGATCTTTATCGATACTTTGCAGCCGATGTCGTCATCGTTCTCTGGAGGTGTGACGCTAACTGGAGGCACTGCTCTGTCTGAGGCTCTGGAACTCGAGTCGGACCATAAAGACCAGACTGACCTGAGCTCCAACAACAAACACGTCCTTCTAAAGAACACGACGATCAACTCGAGGTTCTGAAACACAAACTGGGGCGAGTTCTGAGACGTTCTCTCCCTCAGGGTTCAGAGGGTTGTCGCTCTGGTGAGTCTGTCCCAAATGTGTGATCTGCCTTTATTCGGTTAAATAATGGAACCAAGAATTGAGAAGGTCACGCAGCCACGGGTCAGAATCCTCTGGATGTGAACAGCTCCACAAGAAACGAACTCAACAAAAGAACATGAACTCAAAGCTGATCTCAGCAGAACACAACGTTTGACTGATGCTGTTGTGTTATTTTTTGTGTCTAGTAGCTTCACACTACAGGAATTTTCAGTCTTAAACCATTTTTAAACCTGCAACAAAAAGTTCACACCACAGACGTCTGAGGAGGTAGTATCGCTGAAATAAGCCACGGAAATGTTTTTATATAAATGATCTAAAAAGGTCTTGAAGAAACCTGTAGGAGCCTGTATTTATCGGTTCTCGTTACTTCATGTTTACGACACGAAGCTCAACACACGATTAAGACAAAACTCGATCCCAAAAACAGTCGCACGAGTGAAAATCGTCTCAAATGGCCAAAAATCGCACAGTGTTTACCAGACTTAATGTTTTGACCGTGTTTGCTGATGTGTGCATCGTGTCTCCACGGTAACAGCTGAACATTCAACCATAAACATACGTGCAGTACACCCCCAGTGTGACGTCGCTGCAAAGTATCAATAGCACGATCTTCGTAAGTCCACCGAAGCTCCGCAGTGCAGCTTTAAGTTCAGTGTGAAACCCGTGAGGAGTCTGGACTTTGGGAGTAAGAACGTTTGACTGAGTAATTCTGTTTCACTTCCTCCTGTTTTTAATTGGCCTGAATCTAAACGAACCGAGTGGACGCTCCAGGTCTTTGTGACTTGGAGTCGCCGAGTTCTCTGGGCGAGTTTCCTCCAGTTGCACCAGTTTCACCCTAAAATTAGAACCATTTCACCAAGACGAGAGACAGAACGGTACAGGTTTTTTCATGGACGATGTCGATGTCAACGGTTCAGAATTCAAATCAACTGATGTGCGTTTTATTTTTGGGTCGATATATACGCCTGATTTTGATTTCCCAAATATGCACAGATTTCTCTAGTCTGATTCATGAGCTGGTTTCACTTGGTGGAAACCGTGTGACCTGCAGCATTAGGATTCGTTCACTCGACAGGAGACGGGACTTTTTTTATTGAACCAGTTGCTGCTGTTTGGTCGTGACGTTTGTAAAGCTCCAAATCCTGTAGGAAGAAGAACAAGAACGACTTTGCCCGAGATCAAATTCAACAAACATTCTCTTTGTTCAGGTTTAAATCCTCGGGATCTGGGGAATCGTCGCCAACACTGAATGTCTGTCTCTTCTCTGACTGACCGCTGCACGTCTACAACTTCTGGGCTCTTCAAATCGTCTCATGTTTTCTGATTTCTGGAGAAGCTGGAGAGAAATGAAACTGAGCAGAGGCACTAGGTGGCGCCAGACTGGATACAGATTTCTATCCTAAGCACATAAATATTTCTGAAAGCTTTTGTACTGCATAACAAATGACATTGCACATTTCAGAACCGCGTGTTTTTGCTTCGCTGTTTTTCGTCTCAGAACGTCTCACATTCTTCAAACGTTTGTCAAACTGTTTGTCAGACGTTGGTCAGACGTTGGTCAGACGCTGGTCAGACGTTGGTCAGACGTCAGACGTTGGTCAGACGTTGGTCAGACGCTGGTCAGACGTTGGTCAGACATACTCCTGGAGGCTGTAACTGTCCTTCACTTCCTTCTGCTCCGGCTGCTCCTTCACTTCTTTGGCGTTTTCCCGGTGTTCCACGTCTTCCTGAATCCTCACCGCTTTGGCGCACTCGGTCTGCGTTCCTCGGATACTCACGATTTTCCTTTCGCCGTTGGGACGGGTCGTCGTGTTCTTGGGGCACGACAGGCAGAAGATGACCCCGGACGCCAACAGGAACCCCGCCGACACGAAGGTCAGGCAGAGCGCGCCGCCCGGCTGGTACCTGCTGCTCTCGGGAACCTCCGCGGTCAGAAACGCCGTGATGATCTCGTTGGTGAACCACGACGCCGGGACGAGGCACGAGACGGACGACAGGACGAAGCACGCGCCGGCCGCCATCGCCGTGTGGGCTTTGGCGCGTCGACTCCCGCCCCAGCGCGTGCACTTCAGCCCCAGCGACGCCAAGCACAGCCCCAGCCCCGTCACCAGCGCCGACAGCACCATGGCGATCCGCGTGAGCTGGAGGTACGCGGGGAGGCTCAGCATGCTAGTCTTGACGGTGCAGCTGAAGACGCCGGAGCTGTAGAAGTTGCAGTCCATCCACAGACCCTGCATGTGCGAGATCGGCGTCATCAGGCTCGTCCAGCCCGTCACCGACACCTTCCAGTTCGGCAGCACCGTCGCCACGGTGACGCCCACCAAACCCAGCAAGGCCAGGGCGAAGGCGAGGATCTGGACCGCCGTCGAGAGCATGGCCCCGGCGAGACGGGCGAGACGGGCGAGAGGGGCGGGGCCAAGACCTGCCAATCAGAAGAGAGAGAAACGTAAGAGATAAAAACCAAAACTAAAACTAAATGTTGCCCAGGTATTTTTCTGTCTCTGGTTCATCTGTACTTTATATTTTGGCCACGTTGTTCTCAACTACCGCGAGACTTTGAATAAGTGCGTCAAGTTCTTTAAACATGACCGCGCTCCTGTTCAGTCGTGTGTCGTGTTGGGGCTGGGTGTGACTGAGCTGCTGCAGGTAGATGATTATTGCTGTTAGAACTCACGCTTTTCACTCTAAAAGTATGTTCAAGTAACTGTTGTGACATCAGCCTCTGTAGAAGTGCTGTCGGGAGCCTGAGGGTTTAACTAAGAGGAACTGGTGAGTGTGAACTTTGTTTGTTGTTGTTCGAGCTAATGCTAATGCTAATGCTAATGTTTTAGGTGTAGTAGTTCACATTCCATTTGTTTCTGATTAAAAACTGAGCTGCTCAGTACTAAGATACACTTAACTAAATATGAAATCATGTAAATCTTTCATCTTTGGTACATTTTAAAGTTAAACACTATTAAAATAATCAATACATTTAGGTATTACAAAGCACTTTTTAACATTTTTTTATGGGGAAGTTGTGATACTTTAATGACAGTTTAGTTGTATTATTATACTAAATTTCATCTGCAAAATTACAGTCTGAATTTGAGTTTTTTCTGTTGTTTTTCATATAAAGCAGGACTGAAGTATAGGTGCAGTTGTTAGATTTGACATTTGTTCAGGCCATTTGACTCAGACTGAGGCCTCCTGTGTCACTATATACTTAAGGCTAAAACTGTCCCACAGAGGTTAACAAACATCCAACTCAATCCGTACTAAACAAAAACTTTAATCCAGAATGAAAAAAATCATGAACAGAGCGTCAAACATGGAAATCCAGCCCCTCATCCCAATGTCCTTCCTCCACTGTTTTCCAAACGTTAGTAAGTTAACAAAGTCAGCTCTTCTGGCTAAACAATACTGTATGAAGAACAGGAGTAATGCAGCGTGACATCACCACAGCACTCAGCTCCAAATAAAGCTCATTGAGGCTAGCAGTTAAAGGTCACTTTTGGAGCCATGGTCCATATTAGGAATAGGAATTTTTTTATGAACAAAATGGCAAAATAAAGACAGCAGGCTCATGTAGAGCAGGTTAATATGAACATTTAAGACCAAAATGAAGAGATTCTCTGCAGCAATTACAGAGAGAGGGACGACGTATTTTCAATACAAAGTGAACTGGAAAATGAACTGAACTAAACTGGAGTCAGTGGAGCTGAAGAGAGCCTGTGCTCACTACCTGTTTTGAAACTTGATTTTAATTATTTCCCTGTATACAAAATATTTCACATCCCTCCATGTTCGAGCACCCAGACTTGCAGACTCTTTCTCAAGACACATCCTGCAGTCATTTTCGCCCGGCACCTTCCTCAGTGCCATGAACTTGCCCATCTGTCGTCTCACTGCATTTTTCTCAGTTTCAGTCCAAGGTCTTAGCAGGTTTACTGATCGGCACATCTACAGCATCTGTAAATAAAAAACAAAGACATCATTATTAGCTGCAATAATTATAAATGAAGCGTTTAAACATCTGATATCTCTCTTCCACATGAAGTAAACTTGTACTACACAAGTTGTTTTACGCATCCAGTGGTGGAATGTAACGAAGTACAAGTAGTTAAGTACTGCAGTAAAGTACTGTATAAAAGGTGCATTTTCTGTTGGAGGCTCCTTCAAACACTTGTCTCCGTGGAGATGTTATTGCTTTGTCTGGAATGTTTCTCAGTATTGCATTAAACCTTTCTATCGTCATGGAGGCCAAACCAGACCAAGTTACAGGTCAGATCTGTGGAGAGGCGACCCCACTCACAGTCACAATGTCTGTTTATCAAGGGATTTTTGATCTATAAAACCACCTGTAATTGAATAAATGTAAAGTGGAGCTGTGTAATGTCACACTGTGGAACATTCCAGGCAGAGCAATGACGTCTCCATAGAAACAGACAGGTAACGAACCCCCAAACCAAAGTTACACAATGGACCTTTAAGTAAAAATTTTAGGTATCTGTGCTTAAATTTTTAAAGTTTAGACATGCACTTTCTACTTCACTACACACAACAGTAGATAAGTACATTTTTAATGTACTTTACGTAACGTAACGTATTTAGTATTTATTTAGTTTTACTTGAGTATTTTTTTTTTGCTCTGGTATCGGTACCTTTAGTAGCGTGTGGTGACTTTTATGGGTAGGCAAGGAAACTTGGGATGGACATTAATATTTGATAACACTTTTTATACATAATACAATGCAAATGAATATATTTATTTTACTAACATCAGTTGCACGAAACTGCCATTTTGGAGTCAAATTTTTAAGACCAAGAGCTAAATATGTGTATTAATATTTGTATATAATAGAGTATTTGACACCCTGTTTATACAAACAGAGCTATTTGTTTCTACTCCAACACTTTATAACAACCATCCTGAAGGCTCAGATGGATAAATAAAGCATCAAGAAACCACATGAGTGACATATGATAACTACACATAATGTGTAATGCACTTACTGCACAAAATGTACATTCTGAAGCGAAGCAGGTCCAGAACAAAAACATGTTTCACCACACATGTGTAATAGTGCTGTTATTCCACTGACACTGTCGCTCCTTCATAAACACAGACAAGGAAGAATCCTGGCTGCAACAGCTGCTCACTTCACTGCTCCATTTGACACAAAATAACCCTGATACTTGCTCACAGTTTCATTAAATGTCGGCCTGTATTTCTAACTAACATCTCATCGTTACAGACACTAACCCTAGCGCTGCTTTTGTCGTCTCCTGCACACGCGCACTCACATGAAGTCGCTGCGCATTCTGCTTCCCATGGATGATGATATAGGTTTATTTTCAGCGCTGTTTGAGCCAGCTGTTGTCCTCAGTGCGCACAACCAACTGATCTCTGTGGCTGTCAGAGCGCATGTAGAAAGCTGTGCTCTCAACATGTGTCTCCAGGCCTCCGCAGAAGGCCAAAACAACACAAGTTAATGGTTTTTGCTGTTTGCTCAGTGGCCAGAGGAGTGTACTTAAGGACACCGCCACTACAACCATGTTTCACACAGACAGAAGTGAAGCAAAAACTTGATTATTTGGATCTAATTCAAAACTATTTAATTATACTTTTGACACACGATGATTTTAGATTTTGTTGAGCGACCACTGCTTGCCTTGATTCCCCTGACCGCACGCTACTGACTTTTATTTAATAAAATGTAGTACTTCTTCAACCATTATAAGCATCCATCCTTCCTTAAAACAACTCTGTGGACTCAGTGGACACATAGACAGTGCACTACCATCATCGGCACCACAGTCATAATCACACTCGTCTTTAGGAAATCTACCTACTCTTACCATCACTGCATGGTCTTTGACTTGCAGTCTTCTTTTGATTTTTCACAGAGGATTTGGTGGCAGTTCTGTGTCTGTCCTCTCCATCCTCCTCATCTGAAACAGACAGATATTAGATCAGCGAAAGTTCTCAGCACTGAGGACTTCTCTGAACTCACCACAATCATCACTGTCTCGTTTTCGTTTAACTGCAGTCTTCTTTGGCCTCTTAAAGGCACTTTTGGTGTTCATGCTCAGCTTCTTTTCGTCTAAGAAAGAACACATCTGTGGTCAAACGTCAGTCAGTCACCCCTGATGAGTGAACTGTGCAGGATCACAAATATTACAAAGACCTTTAATGCTCTTATCAATCTCCTTGGCCGCCAGCACAAACCGCCCTAGCTCCCTCAGTTTTTATGCAATATATCTGTGTTGAGACTGTTCACGGCCCTTTTTGGCAAATAATGCATCTCCATATGTGCAAATCATCTTATCATCTCTAATGTGGGAAGTCACATGATCTTGCTGCATAGAATGAATAATCTTTTGCACTGCCTCTGATGATTCTGTAATTGGAATGAGTTGGGAAGAGGATTTTTGGACTCTTACTCTTTTACGCTTATCTCTTTGATCTTTTCGTTCTCTGCAAGTCTTTTCATGTCTCCAGAGTTCAGTCCTAACAAACATTGCATAACAGTGTTGACATGGTAGGTAGTTCTTCACATCTACTGTCTTTGTGGGTCGTCTCCATGGTACTATCTCCCCACTTCCTTCTTCTAACACTCTAAGATTATGCTGCCAATCTCCCTTATTTTGAAGAACTTCCAAAAGTGTTCCTTTCCTTAGAGCAGGATGGAAAGCTAAAAGCATGGGCAACATCTTTTTCAGCACATGTTTTCTTTCAAGATGTCTACCTATTTTTAGATTTGCCTTTTTACAATATACACAATAATGCGCTTTGTCCCAGGCCCTAGTCCCACCCTTGTTGTTGCTCATTTTAATTGTAATTTCTGGCATCTTTTCTTTTAATTTCTTACCTAGCCGGTGTGACTGCTCTGTGCCCTTTTTGCTCCTGGCCCCTGACTGTTTGGAGTCCTTATTGCTCTTCGCTCCTATGATCTCAGTTTCTTTGGATGATGAATCACATTCATGTTTCTCTGGAACTCTTTGGCTGGCTAACTCGTTTGTTAGTAGCTCATCTTCAGTAGATGACGATGATGACGCTGCTGCTGGAGGATGGTATTCTTCATCTGATCCACTGTGACTGGATAATTCAGACTCATCTTCAGTGGGAGATGACGGTGATGGTAGGTGGTTGCCAGCAGAAAACAGTGTTTGATGTGGTGATGAGGGGGAACAGTCTTTGGGTTCATCAGGGGAAAGCTCTTTAATATGTTCCCCTGTTGAATGTTCGATGTTAGCCTAAACAGCAGGGCAGGGGAAGAAAAAACACAGATATTACATGATGAATTAGAAATGAACTTATACTGATCCAAAATGTCTTTATGTCCATACAATTAAAAAGTAAAATACTTAAAACAAACCATGGTAAAGACTTAACCTGGAAGTACAACCTTGTTGTCATGGTAACAGAGCATCCAATTA